CCCATTAGACTAACATCAGATCTCTCAGCTAAAATGATGCAGGCAAGGCAAGAATGGGAAGATATATTTAAAACTCTGAAAGAAAAGCAATTTGGCCAAGAGTACTATACCTAGCAAGATTACCCTTCCAATGGAAAGGATAAGTAAAATTATTCCCGGATAAAGAAATGCTGAAATAATTCACCAAAATGAAACTGGCTCTTCAGGAAATAGTTACAGGACTACTACACCAGGAAAGCTAAAGGGAGACAAACAGAGTAAGAGAACACAAGACAACTAGAAAACCAGGCTAAATCCACACATATTGATAAAACATAGAATGTCAGGACTAAGCGCAGATTCGACTAGTTTACACACAAGCAGGTTAAATGCAAATCCACCATTATCTGATAGACGGCTGTCCTCGGAGGTCTTTTATTACAACCATCACTCCCTGTATAAAACTAGATCATAGAAGAAAAGTCTGAAGTGTTACAGCAGAGTCTTTCTTTGTAATGATTTTTAAAAAAACAAAGGCTAAAATCAACTTTGTAAAGCCTATAAATCACCAAATCGCTGACTTTTCCATGTCTTGACTTTTAGACATCTCTTTCCAATTTCATCTCTGTTTTTTTGGAGACTTCTTTCTTTATGCACATATAGTACTATGGTCTTACAAGAACTCGCTGTGTGTGAGTAAAAGTGTTCTTTTTCTACCTCTTTTTAATGAGCTATTGTTATGGACAGTTTTACCTATCTCTAACTGGACCAATGACCGATACCCACAGATCTTTTCAGATGATAAACTCTGATCTCCCACAGTCCGCTACGTGGAAATGATAAATTCTTCTTTCATTGGCTATGTTAAGATTATCTTTGTTCATTTATTAGGCTGTTTGTTGCCTGATTTTCCATCAATGTGCTTTTCTTTAGAACTGTATGTGACAGTAAAGAACATGGACATTTTGGTACATGCTTGCAGAATAATCATCGGAACAGCTCTCAAGTGTTCACAACATAAGATAGTGTTAAATGTTGGAAGTGGCAAATATGTTTATATTCTCAATTTGTTTATCACACACCGAATATATGCTTTTAAAGACCATTCTGTACCCTACAAAGATGTATAAGGATTATGTGTAAATCACAAATTATAATAAATATTTCAAGAGAAAAATAAATTTAAATGTTCATAGAAAGTTAAAATCTGGGGGGCCAGCAGGTGGTGTGGAGGTAAGGTGCTGGATCCCACGTGGCTGGCTGTGCAGTTTGAGTCCTGGACCAGGCAGTTTGAAAATCACATCGAGTATGTTTCGTGTGTGCCCAAAATCCAGGAGGAGAATGGAGAAGGGCTTGCAGCATGGTCACTCCCCTGGGGTGAGTTCTCATTTTCCCTTTCTCCCTGGTGAGTATACACACCTTACAGCAAACTTAGAAGAGAAAAAAAAAAGTTAAAATCTTTCAAAATTTAAGACAAGTAATGAGCCTCCAGAGTAAGCCACTGGATGAAGAGGGCATCTCTTCCTGTGCCCACCCATGGCTCTGCCCAGCTCCCCTCAGTTCCTGCCCTTTCCTCAGTTTATCCAATCTTCTGGGGACTCAGGGAACTCTCCAATATCCTCACAACACGCTCTCACTTCCTGCTCAAGTTCCTGTAGTTTGCAGTCAAGAACCTGAATAACAAAACTAGCAAGTTAAAACTGTCGGAGCTGAGCGCACACCCAAAGTCCGTCCTACCCAGAGGCTGAGGCAGGAAGATAAAGAACTCAAGGCCAACCTGAACAGCAAAGCAAGACTCTGTCTCTAAAAATAAATGAGGGGCCAGCAGGTGGCATGGTGGTTAAAGACACTGGACTCCCACATGGTTGACTGAGGTTTGAGTCCCGGGCCTGGCTGCTTGCTTTCTTGCTTTCCTTCACCATATCACCCTCAATCTCTCTGTCCCTCTCTCTGGTCAAATTAAAATAAATAGTTAACGAAATAATTATTTTAAAATAAATAAATAAGTGAACAAACAAACAAATTCCAAAGACTTTCAGGTTGTCTCACCCAGCGAGCACGGCTAATTAAACCGGGCCACGGACGGCAAGTGTGCTTGGAAGTACAGCTGTCCTCTGCGAAGCCAGGACTGACTGTGCTGATTAATCTCATACTAATTGCCTTCAGTCGAGCCTGTTTGTGGCCTCAGAATTCTTCTCAACACAGCTCCACAGGCAGCCCTGCCTGCCAGCCAATTGGGGGATCGAAAGGAACGTGGCCTCCCTAGCCTCGGCGAAGGGGTGCAAACAGGAAAGACTGCCCCCCTCAAGACAGCGAAGGAGCTCGAGATTATCGTGCCCACCTCCCGCGTCCCGCCTTCCCCTTCCTAGCTGGAAAGGCCTAAAGGACGCATGCCTTAGGTCTGGCATGGACGTATATTGGTAACTCCTCCAAGTGGGACCAGCAGTTAGCGTAATGGCTATGTCACTGGACTCCCACATAGTCGACCACGGTTTGTGTCCTGGAC